CCAACACCTCTGCAGTCTTCTTCCTGCGCTTCTAATAGATCTTGTCTGCTGTGTCCATGCAGGCATCTTTCACAGAAATATTTCTTTCTAGCATGTTTTGTTTGATCACATAATAGCCTGCTTAAACTCTTTATCCACGCATAATAATATTTACCATCTTTTTCCATCAGAAATGAATTGATTCTGGGAATATGTTCCGGAGCGGAGCTTATCCTGTGTACAACAATTCCTTTAGAAGAATGTCCGAAAACATTTATAGCTAAATTATTTTGCTTTTCCACCTTATCAATTTGTGAGATTGGTGTAGGTTCGTCTATACCATCAAGGTTGAGTCCGTCGTTTGGGGGATAGCTAGAAGGCCTATCTGGATGTTTGTCTTCGGGGGAACAATGCAGATCTTATCATCATTCTGAAACAGTCGTCGCCTTTATTTTTTACATTAATTATGGCTTTTTTCTCACTGTTTTGCGCTTGAGCTTTGAGTTCTCTAGCAGTCTAGGGTTTGTTGTATTCCAAACCGAGTAAATCGATCAATTCAGCTTTTCTCAGTCGAGAATATCCATGTAGACCACGTTGTTTTGCTTAAGTCTTCAACTCTCTGACAAAAACCATTGTGATTTAATGGTATATACAAAATGAGTCGAATCTCTTAATCATTGTTTTTTCATATATCTAAATGCGTATTTTCCCCAACCTATTCCTCTCATTGATGTAATCTCTCTTCCTAGCGTAAATAATCTGGTTCCTGATCCTATCAGCACCATGTTTCTTACATAAACAATAACGACCTTTGACCCCTATCCCACATACAGAACAAACGTAATTTTTAAAACCCTGTCTGATGTAATAAGAGTGGATCCCACAGTAAATACCCTCACAATGTCGGTTGCATTGAATCGGCTTCCCCATGAGTGTAAATCTGCACAGATTCATGGTTATACATCTATCATATCATTTGTCTAAATGTAAATCACATCTCCACTGGTGAGTCATAGTTGTCATCGCTATTTATAGATTAGTTGATACGTAATAGATCATAGCTTATGTGTAGCTAAAAATAGACAACAGTCAGCGCTATTTATAGATTATCAGTCAGGGTGACATGGTTGAAAAGACTCAGCCAAACTAGTATGTTTACAGGTCATGGTTTATGTGTAGTTATTGTATAACTGAAAATTACAATGACTGATAACCCAAACATTATAAATGCTATCTCTCTGTTTTTTTGTTCCTCTGATGGTGTATAAAACTGACTTATTGTTGGTCTCTGTATTGGGTCAAGTTTCTTTCCATAAACAAGGAAGTAGTCGTGCATGGCAGATTCAACATCCTTAAACATTTGAATTGAATGTCCTTGCTTATGTAGTTCTTCATTAAAAAAAATCTAATCTTAATATCCTCTGTCTGGTCCATTGTGACTGGGCTGCTTCGAGTTGTTCTGATGCTCTATTATGTCAGTTATGCTCCTCTTCAACTTCTTAAGCGTCTGATTCCCTCAGAATAGAAAATAAATAATTACTACCCGAAAAAGCTAGAGCATTAACAATAGCTCCACCGACCATCATCGCAATTGTTGCCATATTCAATGATATAAAATATTCAAATGTTTAATTACTTCATTATGTCTTCTGGGATAAGTCCTTGTTTGATGAGCATATCTTTTGTTGCCATTGCCAATCCAATGTCAAGAACCATTATACCAATATCATAACCATTAAAATCTAGCTTGGGTGGTGTGGCTTTAGTAATCATTTTAGCTATATGGGCATAGTCAATGACCAAGCCGCTGACCACAGCTGAATGATATGTTGCGTTTACCAACATTTTACCGTCTGTAACTGGAGTAGTCATTATAACATTATATGGGGGCTAACCTCTAATTGAACTTCTTGTTGTGTAATGGGGGGCGACGTTTTCTCTTCTCCGGTCTTATAAAACAACCATAACACCGCTATAGCAACAACTCCTAGTGCATAGGGAGCCCAAGTTTTAATCGGACGACTATGTTCACTATTTGAATTGTGGACCTTTGCCGACTTCCTCGCTAACCCACCCTTTTCACCAGCGGTGACTTTTCTGGGGTTCTTAGTCACTCTGGCTTGTGATTTCGCAATCGCTGGTATTTCCTCGTTCACTTGTTGTGATTGTGTTTCCACAATCTGTTGTGATTGTGCAATTGGGGTTATTTCCTTGTTCACTTGTTGTGATTGTGTTTCCACAATCTGTTGTGGTGTCACTTGAGTCCCATTATTAATAAGTGGGCACTTATGTTTAAATTGACAATACCTAGCCGTTAATAAAGCTGTGGTCACCGGAGCTAAGAACATTCCGTATCTATGATAAAACTCACAGCTTACTGCGCTTATAGCGTGTTAAATGAATGGGTCTTTCTTGAGAGATTCGCATAAATACAGGCGATGTTCTGCCGGGATATGATGAAACATACGTGTATACCGTATATCGCTGTGTATAAGGCGAGTTTTTCGTACCTAAAATGAGGGGGCTAAGAAGGGGGGTCGTCTTATACACGGAGTCGAAGATCTCACATTTTTTTCCACTGGCGATGTCAACTGGTGTCCGATAGCCAGCCCAGCATTTGACAATAAAACTTTGCATTTCGTCCTAAATAACTGTTCCAATAACTATTTCCATACATAAACATGATTTGTATCTCTTTTCCTTGAATAATTTCTGCAAATAAAGTTGAAATGACTCTCTCCTCGATGCAGATTGTCAAACCAGCTGACACGGTAAAACAATCAACATCCGTGAGTAGAGAGCCGGAAGTACCGGTAATCATTTGCATATTGCACATGTGACCTAACATGTGATAACCGGTGAAGCTGAAATCAATTCCCGCTGTTTTTACAGTTGTATTAACAAGTGTTGGAGACGGTGTGTACAAGTGATTGTGGAATAAACACGCTGAATGTGAAGCAAACATAAGCCTAGTAAGTTACAACATAGTTAATTGGCGATTAAATTACTCACCATTGTCTCTTATATGTTATTACTTCATAAATGCAAAATTTTTCAAAAAATTGTTTTATGGGAAAAAACCCAGTTGCGCTTCATGCGCGCTGCCCGGTTACACCTCATGGCGGGAATCAATACGTCACTTAAAAGATATGACGTAACGGTGACGTCATCCACGTTAGCGTCATCCACGTCAGCTTTCTGATTAACGCGCATCTCCGCCTGGATAGCCGCCCGCTCCGGACGTGTTTTGCCCTGTCTCATTTTAGCAACTTAAAATCAACTTAACTTTTCAAATCAAATCGTAAGTACGATCCTTTCTAGCATCTTAGTCTGTTGGATTGTTATCATTTGTGAAAATTTTCTGAATTGTAAAAAATTCAGCCACATAGAATGCCTGTGTCAGGACGTATTTTGATTGTAGGACATTCTTTCATTGCTAGACTGAAAAAGCATATTGCTTGGGGACATGATCGTTTTAGATATGATTTTGGATTGACAGGGCAAAGTAGTGTGTATTGGTTTGGGATCGGGGGATTGACACTGAATCGTCTGAAAACCATTTATTTGCGTGATTTCGAGGAGCGATTGTATCACTACAACCCAGAAATTCTTGTAATTCAACTGGGTGGCAATGATTTGTGTCGTTCGGATGTTGACCCTCTAAGACTCGCTAGGGAGTTTGAGGATTTTTTTCAAGAGATAAAATCAAAATATAACATCATCAAGCTTGTCATCTGCGAAGAATTCCCTAGGTCTTCCGATAACGCTGTTGGAGTTGGGTATGAGAGAAAACGCCTGCAATTTAACCAGTACTTGAGTGTTATGCTACCGGAGAGAGGCATGTGTTTTTGGAAACATAAGAAAATTTTTCATTCTTCCTTGTCTATTTTCCGGAAGGATGGGGTACATTTGACTGATGATGGCAATTACAAGTTGTATAGAAGTTTGCGCGGTTGCATAATTGCATATTCGGATCTGAAGGGTTTTAGCTAAGTATGGCTATAAAAGCGAAGTCGTGATATTTGTATATTTGTAAGACAAATTTGAGAAGTTTCCTTTTAACAGTTGACAATTTTTACTGAAAGAGCAAGGCTCATTGATGTATTTGACGTATTTGGCAATGAATTGGTACTACCAGAAGTAAGCATACCTGTAATTTTTACTATTTAACCATGGCTTGTTGAAATGTTGAAAGATAATATATTTAGTGTTCGCAGGGGATAACAGAAGTGTTGTCCTTCGCTAGAACGCTACTCTGCGGTTATGCATTTTCTGCCCTGTAGTGGCATTGTTTTTTAATCTGTCCTGTAGTGGCAGTGTGTATATGTTTGCTCTCGCTGTTAGATTGTTGAATGACAATCTATTTAGTGTTCGTGGGGGATAGCAGAAGTGTTGTCCTTCGCTAATGCTACTCTGCGGTTGATGCATTTTTATGCCCGGTGGTGGCATTGTTTTTTAATCTGTCCTGTAGTGGCAGTGTGTATATGTTTGCTCTCGCTGTTAGATTGTTGAATGACAATCTATTTAGTGTTCGTGGGGGATAGCACAAGTGTTGTCCTTCGCTAATGCTACTCTGCGGTTGATGCATTTTTCTGCCCTGTGGTGGCATTGTTTTGTTGTTGTTTTTTAATTTGTCCTGTAGTGGCAGTGGGTATATTTTTGCTCTCACGGTCGAGAGTGTTGAATGACAATCTATTTAGGTTCGCGGGGGGTAGCAGAAGTGTTGCAATATTATTCTAGTTTCCTACTTCAGTCTACATGTTTACGTTGTCTTTCAAGGGTTTTGCTAAATTGTAATATACAGGGTAGCAATTCTTAAATGCCTTTGATCACATTTACGTTGTAAAACATAATTAGTTAAAAGGTCTCAAGTTACAATAAGTCAGAGTTACTTTGTTGTGGGCGATAGCTAAGCGTTCTCTTTATAATAGTGAGTTAATAAAGTAACTCACAGTATTAGTTCTTTTGTGCAAACCTTTGCTGGTTTTTGTACTTCGTTCCAAGGTCCATTCCGGTCTGAGATGCCCCTATCCCGTAGAAGTCGGAAACGTTCCAGTCAGGCTCCGAACAACACGGTCGGCTACGTGGACCTCTGCCAGGATGAGCTTGCAGGCGCCAGTTCGTCCAAGAGACCATCTAATCGTCAGCGGCGGAGCGGACGGGCGGAGATGACCAAGCATCCGGAAGAAAGGACTAATACCTTAGCTATCAATGACATCAATATTGGACAGGCGAGTTCGTCCAAGAGACCCACTAATCGTCAGCGGAGGAGCGGGTGGGCGGAGATGACCGAGCATCCGGAAGAAAGGACTAATACCTTAGATATCAATGACATCAATATTGGACAGGGTGAGGCGGTCCTTAATCCTTTTGCGTTCAATAGTATAAACCAGACTGAAATGCAAGAATTCAAATCTACGTCCATACCCTTAGGCTTTGGTGTAGGAGACAAACTTAAATTTGGCAAAACGAATTCGTTGAAATATCCTCACTTTTATCAGGTGATACTCACGACCAAAATCTTACAATTAATGTAAATGGTCAAGCTGTCAATGTCTCCGATTCATCAAAGAAAAGGTTTTTGTCTATTGACAAATGGGTTTCTGCATTCCACATTTTAATGTCGGTTCACATTCAGAAATATCCTGAGGATGTTCAGGCTATGTTAAAGTATGTTAGTACAATCAGAGAGCTATCCCAGAAAGGGGGTAACTGGTATGCCTATGATACTAAATTTCGGAAGTTGAGGTCAGAAAACAATTTGGATTGGGGAACAGTACACTGGGAATTATGGTTTGGTGCAATTACTTCAAATTTGCAGAATTTTCGTCCCTCAAACCAAAAGCCATTTAAGGCAAAGACATCAGGGTCTGCCAAATCTGCCATCCCAAACGGTTTCTGCTTCAGCTTTCATCTCGGACGGGAATGCAATGCCAAACCTTGTAGATACAGTCACTATTGTCCCCAATGCGGAGGTGACCATGGCTACAGTAAATGTGGGCAGAGGAAAGAATTTGGTAGACCAAACCGAGCAAACCAACCTCCCAACCCCTATAAACGTGCATAAGCTAGAACATTGGCTTGAAGGTTATGATAAAGAAATCACTGATTATCTATTAGAGGGTTTCAAGTTTGGGTTTCGCATTGGATACGAGGGTAATTTAAAATCAGGAGATTGTCACAACTTAAAAAGTGCTTCAGATAACATAGACGTGGTCCAAAACAAAATAAGCAAAGAATTAAGACTAGGTAGGATATCAGGCCCCTATAAACAGTTTCCACTAAAGGATTTTCATATATCTCCCCTAGGGGTATGCCCCAAAAAAGTCCCAGGTCAATTTAGAATGATCCATCACCTTTCTTATCATTACGGTAACTCTGTCAACGATGGTATACCTGAAAAGGCAAGCAATGTACATTATGCTTCCTTAGATGAAGCAATTGACATTATTGTTAGGATGAGCTTAGGGTCTTATATGGCGAAGTGCGACATTGAATCAGCTTTCAGAATTGTACCTATTCACCCTCACGATTATCACCTACTTGGTTTCACCTGGAAAGGAGAATATTATTTCGATAAGTGCTTGCCAATGGGTTGTTCGTCAGCATGCAAAATTTTCGAGACGTTTAGCACTGCGTTGAACTGGATTGCAATTAACAAACTCGGGATAGGACACATGCTGCATATTTTAGACGACTTCCTCATTATTTCTCAGGGCAGGGGCAAGTGTCGGGGAGAACTTGAAGCATTTTTAAACATATGCGGAGATATTGGGATTCCTTTTGCGCCTGAAAAAACAGTAGGGCCTGCCAACTGTCTCCAGTTTCTAGGAATCGAAATAGATACTATTGCCATGGAAGCCAGGTTACCTTCAGACAAATTAGTTAAGGCTAGAAGCTTGACCGCTGATATGTGCAAGAAGAAGAAAGTTAGACTTAGTGAGCTGCAATCCTTATTAGGCTACCTTAATTTCACTTGTAAAGTTGTGGTACCAGGTAGGGCTTTTCTTAGGAGATTGTATGATTTAACTGTCGGGACCCAGAGACCCCATCATCGGATACGGTTAAATAAGCAAGCTCGGGAGGATCTTAAATTGTGGCTGCAATTTCTGGGTCAGTATAACGGGATATCCGTATTGCGGAAACAGGCGTGGTTGTCGAATAGTGCGCTTCATCTCTTTACCGACGCTGCAGCGTCGTTAGGGTATGGAATTGTTTTTAGAAGCAAACGGGCATATGGAGTTTGGCCAGGCTGTTGGAAGTTGTTTAACATAGCTGTCTTAGAGTTTTTTCCCATTGTGTTGGCAGTTAGATTATGGGCTGAAGAGCTAAGAGGAAAATGTATTCTGTTTCATACAGACAACATAGCTTTAGTGTCCGTTATCAACAAGCAAACGTCTAAAGAAGTCAAGTTGATGTCCTTGGTGAGGGACCTTGTTCTTTCGTGTTTGAAACGGGATATAATTTTCAGAGCGGAACACATACCGGGAAGACATAATAAGTCGGCAGACCTACTTTCTCGTTTACAGATATCAAAATTTGTCAGTCAGGCACCATGGGCAGACAAGCAGGAAACGCGGATTCCTCCGCCCCTACAACCCGAGAATTATTTATTCACTTAGATACTTTATTAGGGGCAGCTCTATGTAAGAATAGTCAGGCTACTTATACCAGAGCGTGGGAATTGTACAATGAATTCTCCCGGGATTGTCTAGTTATTTCGCCGGCGCTACCGATAGCAACACCTAGCTGGGCACTATTTTTGGCGTATATGTTCCATTTAAAGTTAGCACCTTCAACAATGAGGACCTACATTTCAGCGTTAGGTTACATTCATAAAATTCGCGGTTTAGAGGACAAATCAAATTCTTTTCAAGTTCAGAAGTTGTTACATGGGGCTAAGTGTCTAAACTCTTCAGTAGACCAGCGTCTACCAATCACAGAGGACATACTGGGCAAGATGATTGACTCATTACCTGTGGTGTTTTCCAACCCTTCAATCAGACTACTTTATGAGACAATGTTTTTAGTTGCCTTTCACGGATTTTTTCGGATTGGTGAACTGACGGTGCGTAGTTCGGATGAGGAAGCGGCCTTGCAGGTGCAGGACGTTTCACTTTCCAGCTCCGCAGCCTATCTTAATATTTCGATGTATAAACACAACAGCGGTAAAGCTAGCAAGATCGTCACACTAGACAAGTTAGACAGTACCCTATGTCCAGTTGCTGCGCTCAAACGTTACCTACGACAAAGGTCTCTCTTCCAAGGCCCTCTGTTTTGTGACAGATGCTTTAAACCGGTAGCAAGATCCTCCTTTAACGAGGCACTCAGAGTTGTATTTAACTTCTTAAGGTTAGATTCTACTAGATACAAAGGACACAGTTTCCGTATAGGTGCAGAATGCTCGGCAGCAAAGAAAGGCTGGTCGGACGCAAAAATTCGGCAAAGGGGCCGGTGGAATTCAGATGCATTTAAAGCATACATTCGTGTTCAGCTGTAGAGAATAAGGGTTGTTGTCGGTAGCGTAGCTCAGCGGAAAAAGAGCCTATTTCCCTAATAGGACCAATTAGAAGTTTGGCAATCTAGAGTTTTATTTATCACTTAAATGTAGGGAAAATGCGATCGCTATTGATCTACTCATACAGAGTAGAGTCTTTCTGTTCAATGTATCACTTACTATATTATAATGTGTGTTAACTTGTTATGGTTCATTATGCCAAGACAGGGAGTGTGGTGTTTCGCATGGGCAGACACCATGCTTCATGGTCAGGCGAGTTTGTTCAATTAGTAGCTACATGTAAATATTTACACGTCCCAACTAGGGGCCTTTATGAATTACATAGTAGAGTTGAGTGTTGTAGGGTTGCATTTTATACCTTACCCTTATAATAATGAGCATGAGCAGGCACTATGCCTCAGGGTCAGGCAATTTGCTCAATGAGTTTCATTATTTAATTCTAATAATGATTAATGTTAATAAGTTCATGTTCCATCAAGGAATCTTTTACGATTTCCATTCCGTGCGGTCTATCTCAAGTATTGGTCCGCACCAATAATTAACTACAACTGTTTTAGATTACATTGTTTACGAAATGTAGGCCTATATAGACTATTAGTACGTCATGAAACAAAATATTTTATGATAAGCTAGATAAGAGATACTGCCACCAGGATTTACTTTTGCAGGCAACAGACGTTACCGAAGACGAATCCCCAGGTGGAAGTAAAGAAAGAGACTCGGGCCAACCGATCAATACATAACACTTCCTATGGACCTGGAACTCTGTGCTATGTTTGTGTGTTTGTATCAAAGATACTCAATCAATGCAGATTGCATATATCATATTTCGTGCATAGAATTAGGGAGGAGGAAGCTGCTTTAATTTTATTGATACGTTTCTAAAACTCGTCCCGAGTCCGTCGTCGGGTGGGGGCATAGTGTTCCACTATTGTGGCGTTGTTTCCCCCACCTTTGTGGCTTATTTCATACAATTTCGGATTGATGAATTGTATGCTTAGGCGTATATACCTTGTAATAAATTTGTCCGCCATTTGTGCGGGCCTAAACAACAATTTTCAGTGTCTGTAATTTTTGCCACAAATGAACTGGACGTTCTCGGGTCAAAGGGTTTTTGAGTATAAATGCAAAATTTTTCAAAAAATTGTTTTTTGGGAAAAAACCCAGTTGCGCTTCATGCGCGCTGCCCGGTTACACCTCATGGCGGGAATCAATACGTCACTTAAGAGATATGACGTAACGGTGACGTCATCCACGTTAGCGTCATCCACGTCAGCTTTCTGATTAACGCGCATCTCCGCCTGGATAGCCGCCCGCTCCGGACGTGTTTTGCCCTGTCTCATTTTAGCAACTTAAAACCACCTCCTCCCAAGCCTCCTCCTCTCTATCTCGCTATTTAGGTTCCTTTTTCTTAGTCATGTGCGTGTATGCGTTGTTTCCCCCACCTTTGTGGCTTATTTCATACAATTTCGGATTGATGAATTGTATGCTTAGGCGTATATACCTTGTAATAAATTTGTCCGCCTTTTGTGCGGGCCTAAACAACAATTTTCAGTGTCTGTAATTTTTGCCACAAATGAACTGGACGTTCTCGGGTCTAAGGGTTTTTGAGTATAAATGAATTTTATTTTACGGGCACCAATTTGGTGTCGTACCGTGTAAACACAAAATGGCGACGTGTGCCGGACCTATCATTGTAGAAAAAAAACAACGCAAGATAAACATATTTTTATTGCATATATAAGGTTTGTGTGCGTACTTGTGATGTGTGCGAAATACGCTACAGTCGGCAAGAGCACGTTAAATCTTCTACCGGTATATCAGTCAGACTTGTGATGTGTTTCATTCCAGGTCGCCTTATACACGGAGTATAGGATTTTTGGTTGATTTTTAAGGAGTGTACAGGGGGGTCGTCTTATGCGTGGGGTCGCCTTATACACAGCGATATACGGTAGTTGTAACATAGCGGAACCTATTGTTTTAGTCATGGCAGCTCCCAGTCTAGACTCATAACGCGTGTACAGTTTTTTAATTTCTTCGTCGGTCATGTTATCAATTTTTTCTATGGTATAATTTTCCCCAAAATATTGGAAACATTTTCCACCAGCTACCAAAGCTGCGAGTCTTTCTCTATGTTTATCTAAAGATTTATCTGTATGTTCTTCTGCATGTTGATCAGGTTCTTTGAGCATTTGTTCGATAAGTTTGTCGCATTCCATAATGTAATACCTAAGGAGATATTTAAGTGTAACATAATAGAATATGGCATATCCAATACAGCCTGAAATAATAAACTGTTGCGAAAGCACGAGGATTTCAAACCACATTATTACATAATAACCGCTAATGTTCAATTCATCGTAATTTTGCAATTTTTGCCATATTTTTGCTATTTTGCTATATTTTGGCTTAATTTGCTAAAATTTGCAATATTTTTGCTTAGCAGTTGCTATAATTATGCTCAGCAGTTGCTACATTTGCCATATTTTTAGCTATAATTTTGCTATTTTTGCTTTATTTTTTGCTTAGCAGTTGCTATATTTGCTATGTTTTTGCTTTAGCAGTTGCTATATTTGCTATATTTTTTGCTATAATTTAGCTATTTTTGCTATATTTTTGCTATATTTTTGCTAAGCAATTGCATAAGCAGCTGGTTGATCGGTTTTTAATACGAGTTTACAATTCTTAGTTTCTGCTGACAGTTTTCTGACTTTATCTTGTTCGAGCTTGGTATGAAACAGGGCTACCCATTTGGTCTGCTCTCTGAGACCTTTCAGAGCAGAGTTGTATTTTTGAGTAAGTACCCAAACGCTATGCTGAGTATGCCGTCCGGAGAATGCTAAATATGCATATCTTTCTTTTTGGTAAGTTCTTTACTCACACTGCAGTCGTCTATTATGAAAAGGGTTGATTCTCCTTTGTTTTTTTGTGACACACTCGTAAACAGTCTTGTTAACGATCGCCCGGATCAACTTTGTACACCTCGGGATCATTCATTACCCAATCTCTCGATAGGTATGTTTTATTAACGCTTATAGTTGGACACAAAATAATAATATGATCGAAAACGTCCCAATAATGACTTTGTAAAATATCTAGAATAAAAAGTTGTTCCACAACCCGTTTGCCCGCAGATGATAGCGCAGTGCATTTCTTTAGGTAAAAGATTATTAATAGATCGCTTGCACGAATCGTCCATTCTGTATATTAAGTTGCACGTCCATAATCACATATCATAATCAAATATATGTTTAATTTACCAGCCGCTTCCTGATGCATTGTTATCTGTATAGTAACACCCTCGCTAGCATTTTCTATTCTGAAAGGATATATATAAGGAATTCAGCCATCGATAAATCCCTGAGAGACAGATCTTTCACAACCGCACTTCTGGGGATCGTTTTGTAATAGGGAGTTTTTTAATCTCATCCCACTGTTGATATGCTCGCATGCCTTGACTATATAGTTGATTAGGCATGTCCTCGACAGTCAACTCTACTTTTGTAGTCTTGGGATTGTAGAACGCCTTGGTATCTCTTGCAAATGCTTCAGAGGGGTCCTCAAACAACATTAGAAAACCCTTCAACGATCTAGCGGGAACCTTAAGATTGATATTCCATGTTGTATCTCTTTTGTTCCTGGTGATATTTCGATATCAAGGCACGCGATCGTACAAAATGGCTAAACTTATACTGGTTACGATTTGTGGCTAATTCAGGATCTGTTATCATATCGTACTCCAGTGAGATATTTTCAATAGAATAGCTACTAGGATCTTCAGTAGCTTTGATTACTCTGCTGTATTCATTAAAAGTAAGTTGGTATTCTAACCTATTGCCTAGGAATGCTTGATAGAAGGGCATGTGACTATCTAGTAATTCAAAGTCTAGCAGAATATAGAATCGGTAACCTAATTCATCAGCAACAGCCTTATCTTCTACGACGGTATTATCGCCACTATCAGCACCTACACGCAGTCTCAATGTGTTCTGATTACAAATATCTTGGTATTGTAAGTTTTCCCGTTCTTTAGCCGTTCTCCAGAGATCCATGTAACAGAAATAAACACCGCTGTCGTCAATACTCAAAACTTCATTATTTTATTGTGATTTTCTTAACAATAGCATGATCTATGTTCTGAACGAGCTCTGTGCTAGCATCGGCAGAATTCAAACAAATTGTAAATGATAGTCGTGCAGTTCCCGGAACTAACACATCGTGTGCGCCCAGATTAGGAAAGCGAACCAGAAGCGTTTGATTCCGATCAATGGTACTCAGGTTATTAGTTATAGTTACAGACTGGCGAATTGCTTTGACCCCTAATGGATCCTGAAGTCTGGGTTGTGGGTTTAACTTGCGTCCGTATTGCGAAGACATTGTTATATTGAAATTATGTAACCTTATGTTTAATATAAAAATGGATGATTTTAATCTAGATAACATAACTGATACTAGTACAATCGAAGAGGGTACTGATGAAACCAGCTTTACGAATCTTAATGATGAACTTCTGAAACCAGCCGTTAATGATTATTACGATGCCTTAAAAGAAACACCTATAGGTCGTGACTATTCAAAGTTTAAGATAGATAGTAAAGGAATATTGAGACTGAGTGGCTCTCCGGATATTGATCTTATGAATTCTCGTACTCGTAAGCCCCTAGCCTTGTCTACGATAGCCAGTAAACACGGCAACTTTGTTCTTTATGAATTAGGTTTTGTAGACTACTCATGAGAAAAACTTTCTGCGAAGACTACTAAGGTACTTCGGACTGTGCGTACTGAACTCGGTACTATAGATACAGATAATTTGGAAGAAAGCTCGAAGCCTCGGACGGACTTTGAGAAATCTTGGATACCTACTACAATAATTCCACGTTACAGGTACCATCCTCGGAGTTAAGTTTTAGGGAATTACGAGGTCTTGACAAGGCAATGCAAACAATGCGGGGAGAACTCATCAATAATATAGCCAAACTATCCCAACTCGACAAGCATATAGCTTGTGAGAAAATAAAACTTGAACAGGCGGGCGATAAATTCAGTAGACGCTGCGTTGCAGAAAGATTGTGTAACTAAGAAGATGAAAGATCGGCCCGTCTCGAATCTGTTGCGCGAGTAATAGAAAGGCACTTCATTCCCAAATCAGTCGAATTTCGAGAAACTATCGATCAAGTCCTCAACAATGATACTACACTGGCCGATAAAATTAAAACATTGTTCAGAGAACAGGGGATAACCATTGCCGTTATTTTAACTGCATTGGGATTTATTATATCGACTTTGACTCTCGCATTAACTGGTGGTACAGGAAGGGGGGGGGCATACCGCCTACTGATAGGGGTGGTGTAAACGAGTGGATAAAAAAGCATTTAAAAGCATTAGGTGAAGCACTGGGAAAGCCACATCTGCACTTCTCGGTATAATAGGGAGTATTGTTTCCTGGCTCTTGAATTTATTAGCTAAGACCACCACTTGGCTTGGTCAAAACTTGTGGGCACTGATCGTAGCAATTGCAGGGCTGTTGTACGTATCCGCTAAAGACTATTAAACCAAATCAGTTTATTAAGAACTATTCAACCAAATCATGAATAAACCAGCCACGACTCCACCTACCATAAGCGCTGTTTTTTCATTGATATGTTGTTGATTTTTAGCTGTAGTATGTGGTGACACTTGTGGTTGTTGCGGTTGCGAAACATGTGGTGTCTGTGGCTTGACTTTTCCCGTTTCGCCTGTGTTTGTTTGCGTTATTAATTCGGTGTTAATATCTGAATTCATACCTGGTTTTTGCTGATCAGAAGCAATAACAATTTTATTATTATAACCAATCACTTGACCAATCTTAAGTTCCATATTACTCAGAGACGTAGTCTACTTTGGATTGAGCGTACTGTAATACATCTTGATAACGTTTTATAGAAGATGGTATGTCAACTGGTGAATTAATAGCATCCTCCACGTTTGCTACAAACTGTTTTTGCGCATCGAGCGCTGTCCCAGAACCAACTATTCCCGTTCGTGTTTGTGATTGTGCACCAAGAATTGCCCATACATAAGTTCTTATTGATTCATTAACTCTTACAACTCCTGGGTTAGTAAAATTAATTTCTGTTTTATCATATAGGGGAGGAGGAGTTTAGTGTTGTCAGAACTCACCAAATACAACGAAATGAAGCAGGAGATTCGATCAAATTCTCGTAAGACCAGTGGTATTAGCGAAGACGAGAAAAAAAAGTTCATAGAACAGGGGAGACAACAAGCACGTCAATTACTCCGTGCCAAAACCAAAGAACTGGTTGGAGATTAAAAATAGATTGCTAACTATCGTTGGATCACATTTAAACGAATGCTTACATAAGTATATAATAATGGAAAATTACAAACCAACAAAGGAAGAAATCGAAAAAGCTATCGAAGCATTTATGCTCAGGGACAAAATTATCAAATGGAGAGAATTACCACGAGGTATATATTATATCACTGATGTCAAACCAACCAAATACGGTCATCAATTGTTTCTTTCCAATTACCAAGAAGAGTATATAGTCTGGTCTCCTAGTAAAATGAACGAAGAACTTAGTAAAAATGTTGAATATCACTTTGTTAAAAATAATGGTATGCGTATGAATAAAAATAATAAAGAATATTTTCATTACAATTTAGTTTAATCTCGTGACGATCGTTAAAACGCATCATCGTTTTTGCATAAAAAATTCCCTCTTTAGTAGCAGTATAGGTATATAAATCTGGCTCCAGTGGAAGTGGTCCAGAATCACCATTACCTATACTACTTGGGTGAAGGGTCAGTTGAACAGCGTGTATGGTGGCTAGAGCGTCTGAAATACTCTGTGTTCAGTTTAAGGTAGATGGAGCGTCAGTTGTACGCCAACCACAACGATTCTATTTAAACATGATCACATAAAACCATTTTACTTCAGAACATATTTTAATAGTAGAATCAAAACAATCAATAAAATATAATCACCTGATGATGAAAGTTTGAAAATACCGTTGTTTTCGATATATCATCCCAGATCAACAAGAATTTCAACTTCTGAGAAAATATGACACAACAAATGAACCAGAGACGTCCAACCGGAAGTGGTAAAAAACGGTGGTTAGCATACCTAGATCATCCAAGATCATTCATGAGATTTTCCACATATAAACATAAACAGCTCATAAAATATTGACAGTTGAGGATGCACGATGAGATTTAATGTATGACATCAACTAGTCAGAATAAATGATATAAGATAAACAAAATATATATGGCATAGTGTCCGAAGAAATAATATATGCTTCCTTCCACCGTCCAACACAGGTGATGTTCTGCCTCTGTGGACGATTGGGCAAAAGTGCTTTTGTGGTCAGCTTTCTTTCTTCAACCAGACCGGTGTTTGCAAACATTGTATGTGTAACTCGGCTGCCATGGAGGTCACCTATTACATTTAGAAACTATGAAACACACCACCCAAACTACGCTCTACACTCAGAATATATATATATATATATATATATATATATATATATATATATATATATATATATATATATATATATATATTGAAATGGGAAATTTCTAAAATAACTTTTCTTGGTAAAATACATGTAAAGATTATGTCAATAGGTATCAGTTTACCCCACCTTCACCATAAACTGTAGTTAACAGCATGTACAATATATGAACTGGGCGGCAAAAGAAAGTATACAGTAGGTCGAGTTCCATGATCGACAAAAAGAATAACAACAGGTTTTGTTGTGAATTATAATATAATCTAGGGAGGGGTAACACATTATTGATCAACCACAGTTTGAATGAAATTGTGCAATCACGGATAATGTAAGCTCAAGGTAAACAATGGTGGGGTAAGAAATTTCATTTCCAAAAATTGTCTGAAATGTCACAAAAATATTGTCAGACACACTACAAGTTCATTGTCGACACAGCCTTTAATAGCGTGTATGACCTCCAGCTGCCTCAATGCATGCTGTGATACGCCGCCTCATCGATGGCGTCAGTCTTCTGATTACGTGGACTGGAATCCGTTGCCACTCGTCTCTCAGGGCCTGCTGCAATTCTTGTCTGTTGACGGGAGACTGATGGCGTGCTCTAATCTGTCTGTCAAGATGGTCCCACAGATGTTCAATATGATTCATATCGGGTGAGTGGGCAGGCCAGGGCAAAACGTCAATGTTCTGCTGGTTTAGAAAGTTCCGGGTCAGTCTTGCAGTATGGGGCCTGGCATTGTCGTGTTGAAACAATGTCCCCTGCTGTTGGTTTTGTAAGAACGGAAGCACAACTGACTGCAGCACTTGGTATCTGTACTGCACAGCTTTCAGGTTTCCCTGTATAATCACCAAATCGGTCTTCTGATCTCAACAAATACCGCCCCACAGCATGACACCTCCCCCGCCGAATGGATGGACCTCTCGAATACACGCCGGAGCCAAACGTTCCCCTCTGCGTCGATAAACTCGTGCTCTGCTGTCATTTCCAAACAAGTTAAACCGACTTTCATCAGTAAACTGCACTCGACGCCAATTTCTCACTTACCAGCGTCGAACCTGCCTCGCCAATCGCACTCTCAGGCGTCGATGTTGAGTAGTCAGTACCATTCTTCGGAAAGGACGATACGCTCGGATTCCAGCAGCACGAAGTCGTCGTAGTACTGTACGTTGGCTAATGGGATGTCCAAACGCTGTTGCTGCCGTCGCCGTCGCCGTTACGAATCTGTTTCGCAGGTGAATGAGCCTAATCTGCCCGTCTTCCAGTGGTGTTGTCACTCGGGGTCGTCCGGTTCGAGGCCTGTCCTGTGTCCTCCCTGTCTGCCTGTACCGTTGAATCGGCCTGGCTACTGTCAATGGTGTACAACCGAACCTTCTGGCAATTTGGACCTGTGTTGCCCCCATTTCGGCCATACCGATGGCTCCCTCTCTCTCTCTCTCTCTGCTCCCGTAACAGTCGTGGCATTTCTTTTGTATGCTTTCATCACGTGTTGTTATACCCTGCAGACGAGCGCATTTATACAGCTAACATGCACGTGCAGTTTATGCCATAGGCGGGAAACCTAGGTGGCGCGTTCGGTTGAGGTGTTTTTTGGTACCTGTTCCTGGGCAGTCATATTCCCAATACCCACTTTCAACTAGTTATCGCTGTTTTTAGGAAAATTACAAACTGCCAACCTATACTTTCTTTTGCCGCTTAGTTTACAAACAAAACAATTGGTGAGCAATATTCTGTAGAATACTAACGATTACACAGGAGAGAATAATGTTGTGAAATGGATATCCCTTCGTTACACAGCATATCTGGAGCTTGTTACAGCAGTGCTGGTTAAAGTTTGGAGGATGGGGAGGCGTTGTCGACCATCTCTTTCACCATCTGCGCAGCGTCCACGGCAGTTGACCAGCTCAAGCTGATGCCGTTGGCACCGTGGCCGTAGTTGTGGACCACCTGTTGCACAGAATGAATCATCATAACTAAATATTATAGTGTGAGTATCACGTTGTTCCCAAGCACACCAACACATGCGTTCAATAAACGTACGGAAATACGAGTTAAACTATTCTTCTGAAGTGATAATGGTAAATATCGTTTAACTCATACAGCACCCGTGAAGATCCGTGTTAGAATAAGTCTTCAGCATCCCATACTTGCCGTAAAAGGTGACTATGCTTGTCAGAAGAGGCGACGAACTGGACCAGGTGATCAGGCTCGCTGACTTGGTTGATGCATGTCATCGTATCACAAATGAGAAGATTGATGCTCATGATGTCAACCACTGGATTGTCGGGTCCAGACTCATTTATTTACAGACCGCTGTCTAATAGCAGGAATATTGCTGCGTGCGGCATTCAACAACAAACAAACAAACATAACTTGTACAGCATATCAGTTTGTAGGTAAATCTTATTCGGGAACCTGCTCGTTGCTATTGAAAATATTATACACACTGCTCACATTGATTTGTTTGTTATGTGTCTCTTTATATTATTTAAACAGACATTGCAACATGTATCCACATCACAAGAATGACTGCATCAGCGTGCGTCGATCTGTACTGATAAACACTCCCTCCACGTGCTGCATACATACAAACCATATCCTCACCTTCAACTCTGTGCCGCCAAACGTCATGTGCTCCTTCGCCACCCTGATAGGAATCCGTGTCGGGCGGAGTCCGGCCCATTGGTCCACTACTCGGGCTCCCTAGAAGTACACGTACACTGTTTACAGTTGGTCATTTCAACCATGTGCCATCAACGTGAGTATCACGTAGCTTTACATGTTAAGGATTTAGATAGTCAACTTTCAGCTCATTATTTGTCCAATGAATGATAAATATCAAACTGTAAATAGTACCAGATCACGAAGCCATCGCTTGAATACCAGGTGGGTGGTATGTTAAACTTGCCGTCACCCCACTACCAGGTATGTGATATGTTTAAGTAGCCATCACTCCACTACCAGGTGGGTGATATGTTTAACTAGCTATCACTCCACTACCAGGTGGGTGATATGTTTAACTTGCAGTCACTCCACTACCAGGTGGGTGATATGTTTAACTAGCCATCACTCCGCTACCAGGTGGGTGATATGTTTAACTAGCCATCACTCCACTACCAGGTGGGTGATATGTTTAACTTGCTGTCACTCCACTACCAGGTGGGTGATATGTTTAACTTGCTGTCACTCCACTACCAGGTGGGTGATATGTTTAACTAGCCATCACTCAACTACCAGGTGGGTGATATGTTTAACTAGCCATCACTCAACTACCAGGTGGGTGATATGTTTAACTTGCTGTCACTCCACTACCAGGTGGGTGATATGTTTAACTAGCAATCACTCCACTACCAGGTGGGTGGTATGTTTAACTAGCCATCACTCAACTACCAGGTGGGTGATATGTTTAACTAGCCATCACTCAACTACCAGGTGGGTGATATGTTTAACTAACCATCACTCAACTACCAGGTGGGTGATATGTTTAACTAGCCATCACACAACTACCAGGTGGGTGATATGTTTAACTAGCAATCACTCCACTACCAGGTGGGTGATATGTTTAACTAGCCATCACTCCACTACCAGGTGGGTGATATGTTTAACTAGCCGTCCATCATTACACTACCAGGTGAGTGATATGTATAACTAGCCATCACTCCACTACCAGGTGGGTGATATGTTTAACTAGCCGTCCATCATTACACTACCAGGTGAGTGATATGTATAACTAGCCATCACTCCACTACCAGGTGGATGATATGTTTAACTAGCCATCACTCCACTACCAGGTGGGTGGTATGTTTAACTAACCATCACTCCACTACCAGGTGGGTTATATGTGTAACTAGCCATCACTCCGCTACCAGGTGTGTGATATGTTTAACTTGCCATCACTCTACTACCAGGTGGGTGATATGTTTAACTAGCCATCACTCCACCACCAGGTGGGTGATATGTTTAACTAGCCATCACTCCAGTACCAGGTGGGTGGTATGTTTAACTAGCCATCACTCCACTACCAGGTGGGTGATATGTTTAACTAGCCGTCCATCATTCCACTACCAGGTGGGTGATATGTATAACTAGCCACCACTCCACTACCAGGTGGGTGATATGTTTAACTAGCCGTCCATCACTCCACTACCATGTGGGTGATATGTTTAACTAGCCATCACTCCACTACCAGGTGGGTGATATGTTTAACTAGCCACCACTCCACTACCAGGTGGGTGATATGTTTAACTAGCCGTCCATCATTACACTACCAGGTGATTGATATGTATAACTAGCCATCACTCCACTACCAGGTGGGTGGTATGTTTAACTAGCCATCACTCCACTACCAGGTGGGTGATATGTGTAACTAGCCATCACTCCACTACCAGGTGTGTGATATGTTTAACTTGCCATAACTCTACTACCAGGTGGGTGATATGTTTAACTAGCCATCACTCCACCACCAGGTGGGTGATATGTTTAACTAGCCATCACTCCAGTACCAGGTGGGTGATATGTTTAACTAGCCATCACTCCACTACCAGGTGGGTGGTATGTATAACTAGCCATCACTCCACTACCAGGTGGGTGATATGTTTACCTAGCAATCACTCCACTTCCAGGTGGGTGATATGTTTAACTAGCCGTCCATCACTCCACTACTAGGTGGGTGATATGTTTAACTAGCCGTCCATCACTCCACTACTATGTGGGTGATATGTTTAACTAGCCATCACTCCACTACCAGGTGGGTGATATGTTTAACTAGCAATCACTCCGGTACCAGGTGGGTGATATGTTTAACTAGCCGTCCATCGTTACACTACCAGGTGGGTGATATGTTTAACTGGCCGTCCATCACTCTACTACTAGGTGGGTGATATGTTTAACTAGCCATCACTCCACTACCAGGTGGGTGATATGTTTTACTAGCCATCACTCCACTACCAGGTGGGTGATATGTTTAAATAGTCGTCCATCACTCCACTACCAGGTGGGTGATATGTTTAACTAGCAATCACTCAACTACCAGACGGGTTGTATATTTAACTAGCCATCACTCCACTACCGGGTGGGTGGTGTGTTTGACTAGCCATCACTCCACTACCAGGTGGGTGATATGTTTAACTTGCCATAACTCCACTACCAGGTGGGTGGTATGTTTAACTAGCCATCACTCCACTATCAGGTGGGTGATATGTTTAACTTGCCGTCACTCCACTATCAGGTGGATGATATGTTTAACTAGCCATCACTTCACTACCAGGTGGGTGATATGTTTAACTAGTCGTCCATCACTCCACTACCAGGTGTGTGATATGTTTAACTTGCCATAACTCCACTACCAGGTGGGTGGTATGTTTAACTTGCCGTCACTCCACTATCAGGTGGATGATATGTTTAACTAGCCATCACTCCACTACCAGGTGGGTGATATGTTTAACTAGCCATCACTCCACTACCAGGTGGGTGATATGTTTAACTAGTCGTCCATCACTCCACTACCAGGTGGGTGATATGTTTAACTAGCGATCACTCAACTACCAGACGGGTGGTATATTTAACTAGCCATCACTCCACTACCAGGTGGGTGGTGTGTTTTACTAGCCATCACTCCACTACCAGGTGGGTGATATGTTTAACTTGCCATAACTCCACTACCAGGTGGGTGGTATGTTTAACTAGCCATCACTTCACTACCATGTGGGTGATATGTGTAACTTGCCATAACTCTACTACCAGGTGGGTGATATGTTTAACTAGCCGTCCATCATTACACTACCATGTGGGTGATATGTTTAGCTAGCCACCACTCCACTACCAGGTGGTTGGTATGTATAACTAGCCATCACTCCACTACCAGGTGGGTGATATGTTTACCTAGCAATCACTCCACTTCCAGGTGGGTGATATGTTTAACTAGCCATCACTCCACTACCAGGTGGGTGATATGTTTAACTAGCCATCACTCCACTACTAGGTGGGTGATATGTTTAACTAGCCATCACTCTACTACCAGGTGGGTGATATGTTTAACTAGCCTTCCATCACTCCACTACTAGGTGGGTGATATGTTTAACTAGCCATCACTCCACTACCAGGTGGGCGACATGTTTAACTTGCCATCCATCACTCCACTACCAGGTTACTCTTCGGAATGGTACAGATTGACATTTAGCAAGAATTTGTTGAAGTAGCAGATGGAAATAGTTGGTGTGAGGCAGTCAGCTGGATACCTCCAGGCCAGGGATCTTCTCCTTGCCCCTTCTCAGGATGTCTTCCGTCAGGGCAGGGTCGATGTCCTCGCTGTAGTTCCCCACCTCCCGACACCCGCCAAGTATCATGTAGTCACTGCTGGAACACACACACACGCAGATCAATACCTGGGACTGAAGGAACACAGGCACACACAGATCAATACCTGGGACTGGAGGAACACACTCACACACAGATCAATACCTGGGACTGAAGGAACACAGGCACACACAGATCAATACCTGGGACTGGAGGAACACACACACACGCAGATCAATACCCGGGACTGAAGGAACACAGGCACACACAGATCAATACCCAGGACTGGAGGAACACACACACACGCAGATCAATACCCGGAACTGGAGGAACACACGCACACACAGATCAATACCCGGGACTGGAGGAACACACCCACACACAGATCAATACCCGGGACTGGAGGAACACACGCACACACAGATCAATACCCGGGACTGGAGGAACACACCCACACACAGATCAATACCCGGGACTGTAGGAACACACCCACACACAGATCAATACCTGGGACTGGAGGAACACACGCACACACAGATCAATACCCGGGACTGTAGGAACACACCCACACACAGATCAATACCTGGGACTGGAGGAACACACCCACACACAGATCAATACCCGGGACTAGAGGAACACACCCACACATAGATCAATACCTTGGACTGGAGGAACACACCCACATACAGATCAATACCTGGGACTGGAGGAACACACCCACATACAGATCAATACCTGGGACTGTAGGAACACATCCACACACAGATCAATACCAAGGACTGGAGGAACACACCCACATACAAATCAATACCTGGGACTGGAGGAACACGGTCACATACAGATCAATACCTGGGACTGTAGGAACACACCCACACACAGATCAATACCCGGGACTGGAGGAACACACGCACACACAGATCAATAACCGGGACTGGAGGAACACACCCACACACAGATCAATACCCAGGACTGGAGGAACACAAGCACACAAAGATCAATACCTGGGACTGGAGGAACACACCCACACACAGATCAATACCCGGGACTGGAGGAACACAAGCACACAAAGATCAATACCCGGGACTAGAGGAACACACCCACACACAGATCAATACCTTGGACTGGAGGAACACACCCACACACAGATCAATACCCGGGACTGTAGGAACACACCCACACACAGATCAATACCCGGGACTGGAGGAACACACCCACACACAGATCAATACCCGGGACCTGAGGATCACACGCACACACAGATCAATACCTGGGACTGGAGGAACACACCCACACACAGATCAATACCCGGGACTGGGGGATCACACCCACATACAGATCAATACCTGGGACTGGAGGAACACACGCACATACAGATCAATACCCGGGACTGGAGGATCACACCCACATACAGATCAATACCCGGGACTGGAGGAACACACCCACATACAGATCAATACCCGGGACTGGAGGATCACACGCACACACAGATCAATACCCGGGACTGGATGATCACACCCACACACAGATCAATACCCGGGACTGGAGGAACACACCCACACACAGATCAATACCTGGGACTAGAGGATCACACCCACACATAGATCAATACCCGGGACTGGAGGAACACACGCACACACAGATCAATACCTGGGACTGTAGGAACACATCCACACACAGATCAATACCTGGGACTGGAGGAACACGTCCACACACAGATCAATACCCAGGACTGGAGGAACACAAGCACACAAAGATCAATACCTGGGACTGGAGGAACACACCTATACACAGATCAATACCCAGGACTGGAGGAAAACACCCACACACAGATCAATACCCGGGACTGGAGGAACACACCCACATACATATCAATACCCTGGACTGGAGGAACACACCCACATACAAATCAATACCTGGGACTGGAGGAACACGCCCACATACAGATCAATACCCAGGACTGGAGGAACACACGCACACACAGATCAATACCCAGGACTGGAGGAACACACCCACACACAGATCAATACCCAGGACTGGAGGAACACACCCACATACAGATCAATACCCAGGACTCGAGGAACACAAGCACACACAGATCAATACCCAGGACTGGAGGAACACACCCACATACATATCAATACCCGGGACTAGAGGAACACACGCACATACAAATCAATACCTGGGACTGGAGGAACACGGCCACATACAGATCAATACCTGGGACTGTAGGAACACAACCACACACAGATCAATACCCGGGACTGGAGGAACACACGCTCATACAGATCAATACCTGGGACTGGAGGAACACACGCGCACACAGATCAATACCTGGAGATGGCGGAACATCATTACGCAGATCAATATCTTAGGGTAGGGGACACGCCCAATACACCCAGCTGAATCACCAGGGGATAGGGCAAACGTTCACTAAGACAAATGCAGGAATATGCCCACACACAATCAGATAAATATATGCATTGTTGGTCATCTCGCGTTTTCTCTTTGACTACAGCATGTAGGAAAGTGGACACCAGAAATGTCCGTAACAACGAGTAGCTCATGACAGGGCTATGGAATGTGGTATTTCTGCACTTACTGTGGTATTGCATATGTGCTGTATCCATCATGTTCTATGTAATAAAATCCACGTATCCAGGGAGCTCGCATCTGAAGATATACACCACATTTAGGATTTATCTCCTGTAAGAGGTGATACTAGCACAGGGGCATGACAGTAACTTCCAAGACATCCATTGTTGCAGCAGACACACCCCAATACTGCTATAGTAAGGGACACTACAGTTATTAAAGTCAACGTTGTTAATCTAGTTGTGGATGTATTTCTAAATAATTTGTCGTTTACATAACCTTGTCGGGGTATGGTATAGAAGGCAGAACCGACATTTCATGTAATACTTCAAAGGCCATGTTTGATAGAATTACTGTTTCAAGGAGCGCTTTCTTACACGTATAAGTTGTCCTCTGATTGGATAAGTCGACTCGTCACCTAGCAAGTACTTGGCATTCAGACCGCAGCAGTTGGCCACAACTTTGTACTCGCCACACAACTGAAACATTGAAGTAGTTGAATGCTACATATATCGCATTCCACACAACTGAAATATTGAATACTACAGATATCGTATACAACACAACTGAACACAATTGAAGTAGTTGAATACTACACATATCGCATTCCACACAACTGAAACATTGAAGTTGTTGAATACTACACATATATCGTATTCCACACAACTGAAACATTGAAGTAGTCGAATACTACACTTATATAACATTCCACACAACTGAAACATTGAAGTAGTCGAATATTACACTTATATAACATTCCACACAACTGAAACATTGAAGTAGTCGAATATTACACTTATATAACATTCCACACAACTAAAACATTGAATTAGTTAAATAGTACACATAGATAGCATTCCACACAACTGAAACATTGAAGTAGTTGAATACTACACATATATCGTATTCCACACAACTGAAACATTGAAGTTGTTGAATACTACACATATATCGTATTCCACACAACTGAAACATGGAAGCAGTCGAATACTACAGATATCGCATTCCACACAGCTGAAACATTGAAGCAGTCGAATACTACAGATATCGCATTCCACACAGCTGAAACATTGAAGCAGTCGAATACTACATATATCGTATTCCGCACAACTGAAACATTGAAGTAGTTGAATACTACACATATATCGTATTCCGCACAACTGAAACATTGAAGTAGTTGAATACTACATATATCGCATTCCACACAACTAAAACATTGAATTAGTTGAATAGTACACATAGATAGCATTCCACACAACTGAAACATTGAAGTAGTTGAATACTACACATATATCGTATTCCGCACAACTGAAACATGGAAGTAGTTGAATACTACATATATCGCATTCCACACAACTAAAACATTGAATTAGTTGAATAGTACAAATAGATAGCATTCCACACAACTGAAACATTGAAGCAGTCGAATACTACATATATCGCATTCCACACAACTGAAACATTGAATTAGTTGAATAGTACACATAGATAGCATTCCACACAACTGAAACATGGAAGCAGTCGAATACTACAGATATCGTATTTAAAACAGCTGAAACATTAAAGCAGTCGAATACTACAGATATCGCATTCCACACAGCTGAAACATGGAAGCAGTCGAATACTACAGATATCGTATTCCACTCAACTGAAACATTGAAGCAGTTGAATACTGCACACATATCGTATTCAACTCAACTGAAAAACTGAATATCATACTTCATCCAGAGACCATATAATCCATTGTATGGTCTCTGCTTCATCGTACTAGTCACGTGACTGAACGTCTATGTAACTAGATCGTACTGGTCACGTGACTGAACCTGTATGTAACTTCATCGTACTAGTCACATGACTGATTCAGTCAGTACATGTATAGCGTGCAACAGGTGTATGGATACTTCCTGTTGAACTACAACTGCGCTGGGCACATAGATTCAGCTTTGACCGTGATCCAAGCAATTGTGTATAATAGCTTCCAGTCAAGCATGGTATGATCATTATTTTCAGTTTACAACAAAGAATAAATAACACGGCGTTTCCGATATCTCACCTCTTCCAAAGACGTTAACGTTCTAAATACCACCTGCCCACCGTTGTCTTTATATCTGAAGCAAAGGGACACACAACTAGACAGCTGCAAGTACGTGCAGCAACATCACTGCAGACAACATCACTGCCATTTCATCAATACCCAATGTCATATCATACCAGCACGAGGACAGTATACCTATAGAATACAAAGTGTAATATCCCCGTCGCCCGTCTTCCTGGCACTGCTACCCGTCAACTGAGAACGATATATCTCCTGCTTTGACATGCGTTTTCAAAACTACAAGTTTCACTGATGATGGATCCTTTCATAAAAAATCAGCCCTAAAGCTTTGATAGTTTAATACGAGGGGTACTTATTGACCAATCAGTCCATTACATCACAGTTCCCCCTTACCGGCAGTGTATTAAAGTCCCACCTGGCATTACATATATAACACACATGCATACCATAAAATGGGCCACTCTGTAACAGTTGTGAGGGTTATACGGTATATACATCACATAAATAGGAATCTCATACGTGTATATGTAACTAAATATTAGGTATTACTTATATAGTAGATACCTACGTCTCATATGAATATTGAAACAGGTTTTTTCACACTTACTAGATATATCATAACCCATAATTACAGGGTGTTGTAGTGTCTTCAGTGACTGAGTTCATGCACATAGGGCGCAACTAGGATCGAACTATTGACGAAATACATCTTTCAAAGGCCATAACTACCGCTATCTTAGTTAGGCTATCGTTCGTTTACTGTAACTAGTGAACGTATCTTCATAGGCATTTTTTTCGGATTGTAGATTACGCAACAATAGTGAACACGGATATCATAGTGGGCATTAGTCCGCCCCCGTTTGTCGTTAATCCTTAACTACGTTAACCTGGGGGGACGCTGCCTTTTCGAATAACGTTGTTTCATTGTTATGCTAGTTTCTTTTGTTTGCACTTTGTCATCGCACGCACGCTCAAATAATCGAGTCTGGACCAGGGTGCCGTTGTGCAAGGCGATCTCAGCGCTAAGGTGATCGTAACTCCCATACCTTAACATAGCCTTACGCCATTCGTAGAGCTAAGATTGTTTTGTACAACGGCATCCAAATAAGTTAGTGATTGGTATTCGGTGCAAAGTCCCGAGCCTTCGGGGTACAATGACACGCAAATCAACCAAGTCACAACGCCAACTTTCTGATCCAGTTTGTTGCCGTTTACAGGCATACGTTGCTGGAGACCTGGGTTAACACGGGATCCGCTCAGGTTGGTATAACTGTAAACATAAGAGAGCTACGCGATAAATTGCAAAGAACAATGAATAACGAAGCATGGTTTATATCACGATAAACGATTGTTCTATCATAACGTCATTTCTGGAGATTCGAACATGCGCTCGCAACTTAATGACGACGTATATTGGACGACGATATTTTTGAGAGGGGGATCTCTAGTGAGTTGTTCACCTTTGATGAAGCTGGGCAACGCAGATAAACGCGATGGCCGAACGATCGCATCCAAAAGCTGGAGAGATATGACAATCGGTATTGGGAGAAAAGGTACAGGTATTCGACGTGAGGATTGTTAGGCTATGCGGGTAATACCCACCAGAGCATAAAAGCTGACTTGTCCGACATTGCCGAGGTCGGATTTTATTGAGGGAGTCATCATTATTTAAAAACGGGTAAATATTTTCAAAACTCGAACATTTTATCATCGCCCTTAAAAAGACTGCACAAAATGTTGATATCTCGTATAAGAACTAAACGACTCGTGGTCGTTGTTTATCATACAATTAAACAATACAGGGAGAATAAACCACAAGGGGCGCAGAGAATATCAAGACGGGGCTGCGCCCCTCATGGCCTATTTTATCTGCAGTGTATTATTGTGCGATAAACAAGAACCACGAATCGTTTATTTCTTAAATATGATACCAATGACAGTTCTTGTCTGATCATGCAATTTAGTCTGCCTGCACTCACTTCCTCATGAGCCACGGAAGATACTTCTTGGCCTCCGTTATGACAGTTGTGATGTTATACCCGTGCCTGAAATACACATTCAGTCTTTTACAATCGGGAAGAAGTGATTTTCAAAAAATGAAATGCAAAGAAAACATGTTGGTGTTTCATGTTTGCTACAGTGCTTGGTCGTATTGTTAGTATGCGCCTTACCTACAGTCAGTCTTTCCAGTCCACGAACTGGTTGCTGGTGGGTGTAACTAACTAAACACTTACTTCTGATTCGAGTTCAAACGCTGAAGTTCATCCCGGGACAACTTATGGTACGAGAAGATTATCTCGTTTAAAAACTGAGGCTGAAAATGAAACAGATGCATAATCATTAACATTATTTACTGAAGCTGAAGCGCTGATATATTTCTTTCAATTGAAGTTTCTTTTCAATGTTTAGTGATTATACCAAGGTATCAACATACCTCTTCCGTATCCTGCAGCACAAACCCATTGGTGACATTGTTTCCTGACGTCGATGCCTCCGAAGACAAAGCAAGAGTAGAGAAGTGTTTCCAAGAGATCTTTGACCATCGTCTGTCAATACGGTAAATGTGACACAAGATTAAACCATGATGCCTTGTGGTCTGTTTTTTTCATGACTGCATTATGAAACTATATTGACTCCCTTTTTTATAATCCAATGATACAAATAGTACTGCAAGACAACAAACTGTAGACGTATTTTGTTTTGGTATGTTCATGATGATACAGGGTCTATATAACATTGTGTGGTTTCATTCAGACATACTCGAATATTCATTAAATTAGGCCTGCGAATAGCCTATATATTCTTATTTATTAAAATTGTATATACTAAAGGGTATTTACCAGTAAACGAATTCAGAATACCATTGGGAGTTGCCTCGACTGAAAATGTATTCACATCGTCTGTAGGCACGATTGAAAATGTATTCACATCGTCTGTGTATGGTAGCCGAGAGGGGACATCGCTTTCTCGCTTTCTCGCTCTATCGCTTTCTCGCTTTATCGCTTTATCGCTTTCTCGTGGTATAGCAATATTTCCTCTTGGCCACTATATTGGTTTCTTTACGATAGAAAGTATATACGTAAAACAACATTAATGTATTGTTAAACCTGACCTCAGTGGGGGGATGGGTTTTAATCATAAAAGAGAGCTGAGATTTTTCCAGTCACATTACAAATTATACATATGGACAGAATGTTGAAATTTTCTCACTATCTACTTAGACATAATTTAACAGTACAGATATGGGTGCGTATAAGACAATCCACGTATTTCTGCGTAAAAAAGAATTTGATTGGTTTATGGCCCTATTTAGGAGTTTTATTGGATCCCCCGCCCCCAGGCCAAGTTATCAAAACAAATAGCAAATAACACCGCTCATTAGCGCTGAGTAGTACGTACTTCCTAAAAAACAATATTTTCCCCCTAAAAACCACTTTTATATCAATGTTTATTCTGTTTGCGGAGTAGATGTCATCATAGTGGAAGTCCTCACCCAAGCAATGGTAATACTACCGGATGTCCAAATGTAATTTCTAGTTTTGGGATGACATATTGTTCTCAGTAACCGTAATGTGGAAACAGATAGTTAATTGGTTTTATATTCAAGTTAGGATAAAGCGAGAAAGCGATAGAGCGAGAAAGAGATATTTCCCATAATGCCGTACATTAAAACGGTTTTTGCATATATTTAGTGATCCATTCCTGTAATTCTCACCACTATTTTGCCTCTTATGATTAGATTTTTTAAACATCTTCTAGTAGATAAATATGTTACAAATGCACACATAATTTGTTCTCGTGTAGCTTGTAAGTGCTTGTAAAATAAAGTTTAACTTTCCCGCCAGGAGAGACTAGATATCCGATTATAGAATAGGCTCAGGCAGGAATATATATATTCATGTAACAATTTTCTATCCATTTAAACAGTATAGTTAACAACTGTGCGTTCCGATGTGAGTTATTTAGTTATCTACTACATTTTTACACAGACAATGAGTCGGACACACACACACACAAACACACACACATACATACCTAATTTTGACAAAACTATACTTAAGATATACATAAAATATTACAATGATAGCTGATTTAATATATATGTTATAGATAATCATAGTAATGCATTTCATATTGTTATCACCTTTAGCTATGTGGCCACACTAATTATTATGTCTCTCCATATGTGTAGCTTACAAAAGTACACATATCAACTGTGGTAACGCCACAGCGATGGGGGCAGTGGGGTAGCCTTGTGGTTAAAGCGTTCGCTCGTCAAGCCGAAGACCCATTTCGATTCCCCACATTGGTACAATGTGTGAAGCCCATTTCTGGTGTTCCTTGTGATATTACTGGATTATTCTTAAAAGCGACGTGAACCATTCTCACTCACTAACTCACAGCGGTGTTTATCAAATTACTATATGCAAGTTCATATAATTGTAGATTTGCACAAGACAAGAAACACAATTCAAGTTAAACATACATCAAATGTCAAAAAGAATATTTACGGACAACAGTATGACACACTGTAACATCATATACTACCGAAAACAAGTTATAGAACAACCCAAAATTATAAGATAATTTTTTTGCAAAACAATCAGCCATGACTAATGAACCATAGTCTTCTTATCTTCTTTTGAAAAGTATATATTTAGGTTTTAACCTGATTTATTTAGAGCGTATTGCAATGATCTGCCACATTCATACAACAGTTACTGAAAAGGGCCATAAATCAATCAATTACATTTTACGCAAAAATCTGTGGATTGTTTTAAAATTACTTACGTATGTACAGTTAAATTATGTTTTAAGTAAATAGTGAGAAACGTTCAACATTCCCTCCCAATTGGAGCAGATACCACATGCGGCCCCTATAGAGGTCAAGAGCGGATATTGCTTAACCGCGAGAAAGCGAGAAAGCGATAAAGTGATAGAGCGAGAAAGCGATAAAGCGAGAAAGCGATAGAGCGAGAAAGCGATAAAGCGAGAAAGCGATAGAGCGAGAAAGCGATAAAGCGAGAAAGCGATAGAGCGAGAAAGCGATAAAGCGAGAAAGCGATAGAGCGATAAAGCAAGAAAGCGATAGAGCGATGTCCCCTCTCGGCCACCATATCTGTGGGCACAACCTACTCACTTCAGTGTATCGATGGGGACGCCTTTGATATGACCAAGGTTAGGCCGGAAGAGGCCACCGGCGCCAGCACTGGTTGTGTCATTGCCAAACTTGTCGGCTATGATGGTGATCTGGGCAGACGGGATCAATCTCTGTATGTTGAGGGCAGTGGACAGTCCGACTATTCCCGCCCCTACGACACAGACAAGAACCATCATGGATGGGTGTACCTGTTAGGGAAAACAATGATGAAGTCATCCACACATCACTTAATCCGGCAGTCCTCAATTGACAAGGACAATGTCTGTAATACATGCCAGCTTCTTGCATTTCTGTTAGTTTGTTTTCTTGCCTCTTGTATTGTTACGTGTACGTCCCCCCTTTTCACTTATTACTACACATGTTTGTCCCGTCTTCTTGTAATTGATACATGTGGGTATGTCCATGCTTTTTGTATTTCTACGCTTGTCTGTCCTTGTTTTGTATTGCTAAATATATGTCCGTCATTGCTTCTAGTATTGCTATGTGTATGTCCTTCATTGCTTCGGGTATTGCTAAACGTGTGTCCGTTATTGCTTCTAGTATTGCTACGTGTGTCCGTCATTGCTTCTTGTATTGCTCCGTGTGTTTCCGTCATGGCTTCTAGTATTGCTATGTGTATGTCCTTCATTGCTTCTAGTATTGCTACGTGTGTGTCCTTCATTGCTTCTAGTACTGCTACGTGTGTGTCCGTCATTGCTTCTTGTATTGCTATGTGTGTGTCCGTCATTGCTTCTTGCATTGCTATGTGTGTGTCCGTCATTGCTTCTTGTATTGCTCCGTGTGTGTCCGTCATTTCTTCTTGAATTGCTACAAGAATGTCATTCATTGCCTCTAGTATCACTACACGTATGTCCGTCATTGCTTCTAGTATTGCTATGTGTGTGTCCGTCATTGCTTCTTGTATTGCTACGTGTGTGTCCGTCATTTCTCCTTGAATTGTTCGATGTATGTCCTTCATTGCTTCTAGTATTGCTACACGTGTGTCTTTCGGTGCGTCTAGTATTGCTACGTGTGTGGACGTCATTGCTTCTTGTATTGCTACGTGTATGTCCTTCATTGCTTCTTGTATTGCTGTTTGTGTGTCCGTCATTGCTTCTTGTTTTGAGACGTGTGTGTCCGTCATTGCTTCTTGTATTGCTACACGTTTGTCCGTCATTTCTTCTTGTATTGCTACGTGTGTGATCTTCATTACTTCTGGTATTGCTACACGTGTGTCTTTCGGTGCGTCTAGTATTGCTACGTGTGTGGACGTCATTGCTTCTTGTTTGCTACGTGTATGTCCTTCAGTTCTTCTTGTATTGCTGCGTGTGTGTCTGTCATTGCTTCTGGTATTGCTACTTGTGTGTCCGTCATTTCTTCTGGTATTGCTCTATGTTATCCGTCATTGCTTCTTGTTTTGAGACGTGTGTGTCCTTCATTGCTTCTTGTTTTGAGACGTGTGTGGGCGTCATTTCTTTTTTATTGCTACACGTGTGCCCATCATTTCTTCTTGTATTGCTACACGTGTGTCCTTCATTGCCTCTTGTATTGCTCGATGTATGGCCTTCATTGCTTCTTGTATTGCTATGTGTGTGTCTGTCATTTCTTCTGGTATTGCTCTATGTTATCCGTCATTGCTTCCTGTTTTGAGACGTGTGTGTCCTTCATTGCTTCTTGTTTTGAGACGTGTGTGGCCGTCATTTCTTTTTGTATTGCTACGTGTGTGTCCGTCATTTCTTCTAGTATTGCTACACGTGTGTCCTTCATGGCTTCTTGTATTGCTACGTGTGTGTCCGTCATTTCTTCTAGTATTGCTACACATGTGTCCTTCATCGCTTCTTGTATTGCTACGTGTGTGTCCGTCATTTCTTCTTGTTTTGAGACGTGTGTGTCCGTCATTGCTTCTTGTATTGCTCGATGTATGTCCTTCATTGCTTCTAGCATTGCTACACGTGTGTCCTTCATTGCTTCTTGTATTGCTACACGTGTGTCCTTCATTGCTTCTAGCATTGCAAAACGTTTGTCCGTCATAGTTTCTCGTATTGCTACGTGTGTGTCCGTCATAGTTTCGTGTATTGCTACGTGTGTGTCCTTCATTGCTTCTTGTATTGCTACACGTGTGTCCGGCATTGCTTCTTGTATTGCTACGTGTGTGTCCGTCATTGCTTCTTGTATAGCTACGTTTGTGTCCGTCATTGCTTCTACCATTGCTACGTGTGTATCCTTCATTGCTTCTACCATTGCTACACGTGTGTCTTTCGTTGCGTCTAGTATTGCTACGTGTGTGTCCGTCATTGCTTCTGGTATTGCTACGTGTGTGTCCGTCATAGTTTCGTGTATTGCTACGTGTGTGTCCGTCATTGCTTCTTGTATTGCTACGTGTGTGTCCGTCATTGCTTCTTGTATTGCTACGTGTGTGTCCGTCATTGCTTCTTGTATTGCTACGTGTGTGTCCGTCATTGCTTCTTGTATTGCTACGTGTGTGTCCGTCATTGCTTCTTGTATTGCTACGTGTGTGTCCGTCATTGCTTCTTGTATTGCTACGTGAGTGTCCTTCATTGCTTCTTGTATTGCTTCGTGTATGTCCGTCATTGCTCCTAGTATTGCTACTCGTGTGTGTCCGTCATTGCTTCCTGTATTGCTACGTGTATGTCCTTCATTGCTTCTAGTATTGCAACACGTATGTCCGTCATTGCTTCTTGTATTGCTACGTGTGTGTCTTTTATTGCTTCTTGTATTGCTACGTGTGTGTCCGTCATTGCTTCTTGTATTGCTACGTGTGTGTCCTTCATTGCTTCTTGTATTGCTTCGTGTATGTCCGTCATTGCTTATTTTGTTGCTACACGTGTGACCGTCATTGCGTCTTGTATTGCTGCACGTGTATCCGCCCGTTTCTGGCGACCTCATCATATTTGGTTGGGATTTAATGATTTTGTATCGATATTCGATATTTTTTACATTTTTTAAAAGAAAAAACGTCTTGCAACAATTCAATGTTTGCGGCCTATTTTACCAGCAGTCTGAAGAATAGTTGATTCCTTTCAATAATTTATCGGGGACAATTCAGTTTTTTCGATAACATCCCAGCTGGTGGAAACACTCGTCAGATATATCCTTCAAGACGCCTGACTGCAGTAACTTACTTGACCTGACTTGTTTGTGTGTATGCATAAAACACAATCTGTATAACGCATGACCTAGAAGATCCGTTGACCTAGTGATCTATATATTGCAATACCTCCGCCAGTTCACTCTCACATACACAGCTGGCAGTGGACAGATCGCTATGATCAAGCAATTTCACAAAGCAACTTGTTATAGAATAGGATATCAATCAAACATAATCCACCCACAACTTAAGATAGCTTTTTTCCAAACAATGCATCATGTTTTATCGCTATCGTCTACGGTTCGTCTGTAAGTTTAGAGACAGATGCATAGAGATGGTACACGAGAAGTTGGTGAATCAAGTATATCGGCTCTCTGTACTTACGTCCTGTCCTTCTGACACCTTGCAGGCAAGTGTCGTTATATCACGACGGAAATGTCAGCTGATAGCATGACCTACTTCTGTCTTATGCTTGGTAAGGCGGCCGGCTACCGTATTTACACAAACATTTTGTTCCGTTTTCAGATGTTCAGTAGAGTAAAGGAATCATTATCATTGGAACAATTGAAACGGTTATCGAATGAGCACACGAACCGCACAAACACAATAATTCACGAGTCATTGATATAACCAAGGAAGGAAATCCATTCTTCACATCAACTGATTTCAAATATCTTTATTGCAAACAACACCAATCAATTGCATATTTACCTTGATATGATCCAAGCTATCGATAGTGCCATTTTGTGTACTCTCTGCACTAAATCAGAGACCATATAATAGAATACATTATAAAATACTTTTGATATCGGAACGGCTTTTCCTTCACACGCCCTCGAAAACTTACGCTTGTGGACAGACGCCATATTTTCATTTCCTATCTTTTTCTTTGAGTGGAACCTTTTGGGAGGTATTTACCAACGGCTTGGTAGCGGTAACATCACTGTTATTCTATTTAGACCAAGAGTCATCTGAAACCAACCCCTGGTCGAAGAGTGGGAATTCTTCAAGTGGCATATTTAGGTCTAAGACGAAATCGTCCAAGTGAATGAAGTCGTCCATGGCTGTGGCGAATGTAAATTGAAATAAATGTCCCGGAAGACACACATGTTCAGCAAACAATTTGGAGCCAACTGACATGTGCTAATGAGAGATATCATAAAAAAATCTTTGTAATCCGCTAAGAGACGTCCTTTTATTGGATTGTCGCTGGTCGTAGTCGGAGAAATCTCGGCTAAGGGAATTAACTCTTACCCCGGATATTATGTAATATTGTTTACGTGGTTACCAGAATGGTCAATCTTGAATGTCTGCGCATCTATTGCGCATCTGCAGCGGTACAGGGAGGTTAACAGCAGGGTGTCGGGGTGTATCAGTTACATGCCAGACCGTAGCGCTGATGGTTTATGATAAACTGTTGGTGAGGGCCGTCCCTCTATTATATGGTCTCTGACTAAATCTAATAAATAATATGTGACACAGTTGTTGGTTTACTTGATCATACATGATTATTATTCGATCTAAAATGTCCTATCCACGTCCACAATTGTAACATAAGAGAGAGATTCAGTGGCCTGGTCATTGTAACAGCTGCACATGTGTGGCAAACTGAGATGTGGTCTCTGTGTGATCCGGGCTATCATATACTACAATCCCATTAACATACAATAAAATAGCATTTTAAGGATATTAAATCCCGCTTGCAGGGGCTGGAATGTTCCCGAACCAAGAACCCCTTACCAGGGTACCTCCGCTTGAAGGAGGAGTTGTATCCATTCCTGTATCGTTTGACAATTTAAATATCTATCATTCAAAAAGCTCACATTTGGGAGTGATATCATGGTTAGAAATTAAACATGGCAATTGACAGTAATTACAGATATATGCAACACGACCATTTTATAGGAATTGCATTTTTTCATTAGCGATCTGCATAAAAAGAAGAAATTGTATTCCGCTTTAGTTCCGCATTACCACTTTTATGCGATGCTATATTTAGCTGCAAACGGTTGATATCGAGTCAGTAGCATTGCCATTGGCGCACTTTGCAGAACGGAGTAAAAATACAAAAAACAAGAAGAGCAGATGATTTTGCTCTTATCAAATGTTTGTCAATTAAACACACAGTTGCATGCCAGAGACATAATTCTCTATGTTGTTTATCCCAGTTCTGGTCGTATCCCAGTTCTGGTCGCTACAAAGGTATACTTCACTGTTCTCTATAAATAGTATAATTACACATTATATAGGAGCGTCATTTCGGTGTCTTTGCGAGCTGCGGCTGAAGTCTTCAATTCAACGGTTATCAGAGGAGGCACTTGAGGCATCCAACAAGTTTACGGCGCACGTGCGGGTGACAAAATCACATAATCTCGCATTTATCAATGATTACACGGTATGCTAACCTCAAGTAGAAACACTGGAAGCGAATTCAGCAAAGGGAGATAACCAGTCAATATATCGTCATCGCAACTAAAGCTCTCACCACAATGTGTTAGAAGCACAAGAAGGCCGGCATGAAGAACATTTGTACCTACATTACATGATGCTATCGTTCACCCATCACCTACCTGTATCTACGTACAATGCAACTCCACTCTCACATCGGACATTCTCACAGTTTGGTAGCCGTTAGCAGAATTATTCCTTTGACAAATCAGGGATCTTTTACTAATGTCATATGTCATGACGCGGAGCACAACATATCTTCATATAGCGTTATGTATATAAGTAACTACTTCCAAACACCCGTGTTCCCGATGTCAACACTCATGACTGACCGACATAAACATTGATTGCAGACGCCTGGTGCAGCTTTCATTTCCTTGTTTGGCTCAGCAGGGGAGGCAACTGGACAAAATCAATATCTGCATGGTTTGATAAATATTAAAGCGGCAAGCACAATGAAATGGTGTGTCGGCTCTGCAGGTGAGATGATATGTCAGCTGTACTGGTGTATTAGCTGTAGTGTACACCATGGGGAAATACAATCATGCATTATCAGCAGTATACACCATAGGGAAATACAAGTATGTATTAGCTGTAGTGTACACCATGGGGAAATACAATCATGCATTATCAGCAGTATACACCATAGGGAAATACAAGTATGTATTAGCTGTAGTGTACACCATAGGGAAATACAATCATGCATTATCAGCAGTATACACCATAGGGAAATACAAGTATGTATTAGCTGTAGTGTACACCATGGGGAAATACAATCATGCATTATCAGCAGTATACACCATAGGGAAATACAAGTATGTATTAGCTGTAGTGTACACCATAGGGAAATACAATCATGCATTATCAGCAGTATACACCATAGGGAAATACAAGTATGTATTAGCTGTAGTGTACACCATAGGGAAATACAATCATGCATTATCAGCAGTATACACCATAGGGAAATACAAGTATGTATTAGCTGTAGTGTACACCATGGGGAAATACAATCATGCATTATCAGCAGTATACACCATAGGGAAATACAAGTATGTATTAGCTGTAGTGTACACCATAGGGAAATACAATCATGCATTATCAGCAGTATACACCATAGGGAAATACAAGTATGTATTAGCTGTAGTGTACACCATGGGGAAATACAATCATGCATTATCAGCAGTATACACCATAGGGAAATACAAGTATGTATTAGCTGTAGTGTACACCATGGGGAAATACAATCACGTATACACGATCGGGAAATACAATCAGGTAAATATCATGGGGAAATATAATCATGTTTATGCTATGGGGAAAATGTCTTTTAGAGTTTCGCTCAATAACACTCAACATTAGCTAAAGTTCGATATTCTAGTTAATGTTCATTTGTCAATTATAGTTTCACAAGCACTGAAAATAACAGCAATAGAGATCATGTGATGCAATGTAATGCGTGATCATATCACTGTGAATACTGATATGATTATGCAGATGAACTTTCATGGACAGCATTGTACGTGACTAGAAATACACATGAACGACGGAATAACAGCCACAGTCACAGTGACTGCCTGCACACTGGATACTGCGGACGGTGGGACGTGGGCGTCAGTTAAGAAGTTAGAGGTAGGGCACATCTTCCCATGGTGGTATATTCCTTCAACACGGCTGTCTTCGCCTTGGTATAATATGCTAATGGAAACGAATAAGGGAACAAGGAAATATTTAAGGAAATAAGTTTTACTGTCACTACATTTGAAATAGCGTGCATATAAATTCAACACATGTCAGAATCAAATGTTGAGATGTGTATTGTGTGTATTGTCCCAACGCGTTTTTGGGTAGACAAGTCTGGGAAACCATGATAGCATATCATTTCACTGTGGCTTAAACCAAGTGTTCCCTTATACACTAACATCAGTGCAGAATACAGGACTGCTGTCGAACAATGGAGGACAATGCAGGTCATCATCATCTGATGAAAGAGCGAACTCTTCGCTCGGGTGTAGTCGGTCACTTACCTTTAGAATAGATCAATACGTCCATAGAATAATATTGGCTGGATTTATGGATCTCGGTCAAGCGTGAATATGTAGGACGTGGTATCGTTGTCCCTCGTTGTACATGGAGGGAATCGGTGCTCACGTGTATCAGTATCATCCACGCGCATCCTTACATCAGGCAGCTGAAGCTCTCGGTAAGGGATCTTATTATAAGTAATGTTGTATCGTGGTTGTACAGTTTATCCTTCAAGCTCCCCAAAACCAACACGAGTATGACTAGTAGATGTAGCCATCAATTGGCAAGGTGCACGAACACGCTTCTTGTGGCGCTACGTTCTACAGCTCTGCTTTCAAACAGGTTTATAATTACATTTAGCAACAAAGCATAATAAACTTTGTTTAACAATTATCACTGATACTATATCATTGCTATTATTTGAGTTTTCATTTTAACCATTAGTTCCATCGTTTACAATTCAAAGTAGCTGGTACATGCGCTACGCCAAATAATTACATATTTTCATAAATATTGAATGTGGAGTACTTGCTCTCTGGCAAATGGGATCGGTTACGCCCCAGAAGGTCGTCGCCTGGCAACCAGCGTCAGTACCTGTAGCCCTTACACTATACATATATATATATATAAGCGAGACGCTACACAGAGCAGCTGGGGCCGCGCTAAGAGTACGTGTTCGTGCATTGGATGTGAAACACGGCTATATCCATCCCAACAGAAGATATCTTCCAAAAGTAAACTGCCGTTTTAGGATAAGCATCCCTCCTTTTTAATCTATTGTAAAAAACGCACCTCTATATTTATGAAAACATAGTGATACGTTTGTTTCTTTATTTTATGGGAAGTTATTCGTCCAACTTTCAGCAACAGCCATACAATGTGTATCAAATATGTTTTCATAAATATAGAGGTGCGGTTTTTACAATAGATTAAAAAGAAGGGATGCTTATCCTAAAACGGCAGTTTACTTTTGGAAGATATCTTCTGTTGGGATGGATATAGCCGTGTTTCACATCCAATGCACGAACACGTACTCTTAGCGCGGCCCAGCTGCTCTGTGTGGCGTCTATAAAGAAAAGAAAGATGATTGATGTCATGGTAACTGAAAGTGAAATATCTGACATAACTTCATATTTACCAGCTGATAAAGCTAGCGTTTCTTATGGAGTTAATCACAGAGTTTTAAAAAGGATTTATACTTCAATTGCAAAACCATTTAGTTATATTCTCAATCTATCTCTGCCTAATTGTATTTTCCATAACAGAGGATATAAGAGGACGTTTTACCCATGTTCTTTACCAGCTATTTACAGGCCTAGTAGTTCCATATCAGTATTTGGTAAGATATTCGAAAGAATTGTAAACAATTGACTTGCCTTTGTATATGTTAGCGACGGGTGGGAAAAGAAAAGCTCACCTTTTCGCGAACACCTGGTTTTATCACTATTTGATAGTGATTCATAAACACATGCTCATAATTTAGTAGGAATCGTACAGTCCATTCTGCTATCAGCAGAGGTTTATTATGAATATAAAAAGAGTTTAAATATGCTGGAAACAAATCACTGTGCCTTGTTTTTATCTGATAGGAAATAGGAAGCCAATATTTTACTACAAGATTCAGTCATGTGAGCAGTAATAATGATAATAATAATAAGAAGAAGAATACAAGGCAAAACCCTTTCCATATCCAATAGAAATCTCTGCGTAAAGGGGTGTCGATAGTACGATTCCGACTATGTCATAAGCATGTGTTTATGAATCACTATCAAATAGTGATGAAACCAGTTGTTCGCGAAAAGGTGAGCGTATCCTGCACCACTGGTGGCACCCGTCACAAACACATGCAAAGGCAAGTCAGTTGTTCACCTGAAAAAACACAGGAAAATACGGTACAAGTCAAAATGGGGCATTGCATGGAAATGTCATCCACATAAAACATTTTGAAAGCTTTACTGAGGCCATGAATGTTGTAACCTTGATCAAACAACTTCTGAGTCGTGTGACTCTCTTTAAAATCTTGGAAGAAAGGGCATGCTCGATTGTACCTCAAAAGTTGTGAAATGTAAACACCAAAGGCTGGAGCTACTGGAATATTCCCTCTCAACCCCTCTTGTCATTCAGTCTGGAGAGTGTTTTGTCATGACTGGTCTCTTTTATTTCTAGTTCAGGGCCTACTTGCACAAAACGATCTTAGCGCTAAGACTATTGTAAGTCTATGTTAATGTATGTGAGTTAAGATCCTCTCAGCGCTAAGATCGCTTTGTGCAAGTGGACCCAGGTGGGTAAATCAGTGGAAGGGAATTGGCTAGTTGGTGGTTATTGTGCGAGATCAAATTCAGTTAAACTTCTTGGCCAGATTACCTTGTTATGGCTTTGCAAATCCGAGCAGAAATTCCGGTTCATGAATATGCATAAAGAAACAGATCCGTAATAAGTGGATCACAATTGGTGCCAATGCAGATGCCTACTTCTTGTTTAAATGTCTTCCCCTATTTTTTACGTTGATGTTTTTAATAAGGAACTCCAGCATTTCACATATATTTTTTTTCAGTAATCTTCAGATGGCATTTGCATTCATTTTTCATAAATTGTCCTGAACCTCTGAATACAGATCCGTGACTGTATCTGTGGTCACCATGGTTTGTAACAAAATCCCCGTTTGTCATGTGGGATAGTTGTGTGTCGAAATATCAAATGTTTGACAAAATGGAACTGAGATTGCGAATTGTCAAGCAAATTCTTTGCGTTTTCTGAGAAACCACATGGTATTAATTCCACTTGTCTCAAATACTTTCTGTGAATATAAAGAAAGACTTTCCTTGATTGTATACTCTTCAAAACAAGAAACGCAAAACGAATATTTTTGGCCATAAATGCAAAGTGAGCGGACCAAGAGGTGCAAAATGAAGAGGTTTAATGTGTTATAGTGTCAGTGGCAAATTTCCCGGATCAAAATGATCACAACAAGGGCATGCAAACCATCAGTCGGGAAACATGTACGATTCGGAAAAACGCACCCAGTGCATTAACAAAAATGCCATGGAGCTGCATGTACTGCACATGCAGCAGCACTATTAACGGTGTTAAGTACAGGGTTTTAGATTGCCTGGCATCTGCGTCAATCGAACAGTGACAGTTCAACAACATGCCAAGAATAACAGAAGTGCAAAGAAACAACGTCATAGGCAGCTTGCAGGCAGGGGAATCCGATCAGCTGTAGCCAGGGTTTTCAATGTAGCGCCCAGCACCATCACAAGGCTACTGGGGTCGGTTTCAACAGCATGGGTCAACACGTGATCGGCCAAGGTCGGAACGACAAAGAGTAATCACCCCCGCCCAAGGTCGCTACATCCGACTGCGCCACCTACGTGAAAGGACGACCACCTTAACCGCATCCCAAATACCCGGACTGCTCAGAATCTCCGACCAGAACGTACGAAACCGTTTAAGAGCAGCAGGTCAAGACGTCCTGTTCGACGCGTCATACTGAGTCGACAACATCGTCAACAGCGACTGCATTGGTGTCGTCAACACAGGATATGGCCCCAACTGCGAAGGAGAGATATCTGTTTCAGAGACGAATCGAGATTTCTCCTCAGTCGAGGAGATGGAAGAGCACGGTTCTACAGACACCGGTGAGAACGTTACGCCGGAAACTGCGTACAGTGGACAGGTTTGGTGGGGGTAGCGTTATGATGTGGGCGTCTATCTCTCATCATGGCAGGACAGGTTTGGTCCTTTATCCAGGGCAATCTTACGGCTCAACGATACATCAACGAAATCTTCCTACCACACGTCCTCCCAATTGCAGCCAACAGCAGAGGTGTATTCCAGCAGGACAACGCTCGACCGCATACAGCACGGATCACAAGAGCCTGTCAACGTTCATGTTCTCATCTGGCCCTCCAGATTCCCGGATTTGAACCCGATAGGGCACCTGTGGGATGAGTTGGATAGACGGCGTTTTGCGTTGCATGTCGAGTGGGCTACCATTCCCCAGGATGTGGTTCGCATACTCGTCTCTTCCGTGGGCAGGAGATATCAGGCCGCTGTCGATTCCAACGGGGGACATACGAGTTATTGATGGTAGCTGACCTTCACCTTGGACTTTTCCTATGTACCGATAACTCAGATGACTACAATCACCAAGGGTTCTCTCCACAACATTAAGCTCAATACCTTGTACGGTTCCTCGTATAAATGTATTTTCCTATATCACACAAATCTGGCTTTGCATTTCTTTCTTTTTTAAGAGTATATTAAGGATGATGGTTTAGTCTTAGTACATTTGGTAGACCCAACAATATATCTCTCTTTGTACGGATTTTTATGAAGCTTTGGAATCCAGTACAAAATGGACATGTCTTCAGGTTTTAGTAAATGGATGAGTGAGTAAGGTTTTACGCCTTTTTTAGCAATATCACGGCGGGGGACACCACAAATGGGCGACACACAATGTACCCATGTCGGGAATCGAACCCGGGTCTTCAGCGTGACGAGCAAACGCTTTAACCACTAGGGTCAAGTTGATGGTACTGATGCATTAGCCGACTTATCCAAGGCAAATTGTACATAAAATCACATCTATTGTACATAAAATCACATCTGTAATTGTAGTTCAGGTTGTTTTACATAATTTCCTCGAATGTCGTAATTACATTAGATCTCGTAGATTACAATTACAGGATATTTTTTCCGAATTTGACACAAAATTTGATCTTAACTTTATTCTATATGGCGACCCAAACTCAGATGGCAGTGTCGACGAATTCCTTCTCAATGATGTACATAATCATATCCAGATCATATTTAGTCAACAAAGAGTTAATTATTTCATGCTTATGTGTTCAAATATGTTTGTCATAATGTTTGAACGATAAGGTGTGTACTGTGCCATACAGCACAGGTGTTTGGGGAACCATGTCACCTTCGTTGTTGACAGTTGTAAAGGCGTGTCATGGCTCTCGACCTCCCTCCACATGAGTTACCCTATTCCCAAAATAGTTACATGCGTACTTGTCAATACTGGTGTCAACGCATATGTTGACGGGGAAAATAGTTCAGATTGCAAACGACGCATACCTTGAGTCCAAACATCTTTAGTTGTCAATAAAACAAATAAATACAATTGCTAATAGAAATATGTAAAGCGGAGATTCCAACTGAACTTCTACAAGTTAAGTCCAGAAAGCAGGTGTAGCCTACTAGCAGCTGTACATACAGGTGCTGTCGGAATACCAGACTAACAGTAAAGATGTAAACATATTATAATACACACTATTGGATAACAATGGACATACGAA